CAAAACTTCAAGAACACGGCCACACAGCCCGGAAGACTCACACCAGCCATAATCTGGTATTCTAATCATTTTAAGTATTCTTTATGTTTGGGCAGCAGATATTCCAAATTAATGGTACCTTTAGCCTACACTAAATAAATCAAATAAATGAGATCCTGCTTTTTCTTCTTTCCAATTTGAAAATGAGAGCTATTGAAAGTGAGCAGGAATTAGTTCAGACAAGGAATATAATATTTTCTTATTGCACATAAGATGTAAGGGGGAGGAGGTACTCTAAGGCAACACACTACTTCTTTTCAGTAAACATAAAATGCTAGGTCACATGGGAAGCACTCCAGATATAATAATAGCTTCCCAAAATATCCACCCTGGAAAACTGTGTGCAGATTCCTTATAAAATAATTACAGGCTTCCTGGACTGAATAGGACAACCAAAAATCATACCTTTTATGCAAACGCTATTAAAATTAAATTGTTTTGAAAAAAATCAGCAACTCTAAATCACATGCAGACACCATGCAAAGTGATTTACAATCTATCCAGGCCTAAGAGCCAACATTTATGAAGGGCTCCATCAAACTGGAAAGGATTCAAGAAAAGCTGACAAGATGATCAGAAGATTGACAAGTGAGCTCTATAAGAAGAGAGTGAGACCTGATTATGTTAGTAAGTGATAAGAGAACATACTTGAGTCCCGTACAAGTTTCTGAAGGGAGGTCAGATGAAGAAAAATACAAACTAATCTGTATCATCCCAGAAAGCATAATGTGATGGTTTTAAATTATTGGAATGAAGATTCCTCTGAGTGTTAGCAAAATGCTCTAACAATAAAAGCAATTTAACAGTGGAATCAATTTCTATGAAGTAGTGTGCTCTGCATTGCTGAATGTGTTCAACTAGAGGCTAAACTACCATCTGTCAGGGATGTTTTGATTTAAACACCTGCACTGACAGGAATCGGACTTCACAATCCAAATGGACCCTTCCAATTTTATCAATGGATTCACAGATTGTTCTAAGTCACTGTTTGCCTAATTATGGCTATGTGAATAAGCAACAGTTGAGCTGATACCACTAAGCCATAAATTATGGCTTACAAACCACATACACACATATACTAAGCCAAACTGAACATATCATGTTAGTGCTCAGCATAACATATAAACATGAGTCTACGGCCGTGCTTATCATCAAAAAGGAGAGGAAATGTTACTACTATGTTTAAGGAATTGAGAGTGAAGAATAATGATACTTCCAAAGATAATTGATCCTAATAATAGGGGTAGTTTTCATTATAAAAACAAGATAACATTTGTGCAATTGGAGTGGTTATTTTCAAACTTTCTAACATTACAGAACTTCTACACTGCACTGTTTGCTGAAAAGACTTTGTATCATGATTACAAAGCTCATGTACTTTATGGAATATGCTGGGAACCATTCTCAGGTGAACATAACTTCCACTAGTTAAGTTTAACTGCTGTCACAAATTTAATAGATACATACATGAAGCACTCTTCTGCAGCTGTCAATTACAGCAAAGTATGAGTAAATATCTCAGGATCATCAGTCTTCTCACAAATGAGATCTCACCCCCTTTTCAATCACTTTCCAAGAAACTTCAAAATTCCTATGATAGAAAGCTCCAGTGATTCTGGAAATCAACCCTGCAGCTTCAGATATATACCAGTTGGCATTTCAAAAGGAAAAAAAGAGACTTCTATAAGAGAGAACCCAAATAATATCACTGATTAGAGAAACAAAGTTTGGAAGATAACCATGTCTCTACTCAATTTCCTCTGTTAATGCATGTTACTTTTCAAATATCTTTCCTGTAACACCATCTCTAACTGAAAAGTAAAATTGGATTGACTCCACAGCAGTGGAGCTAGGAAGAAATCCAGAAAAGCCAGAGTTTTTATTAAATGTGTTGCCAAGAATGCCAACTAAAAGCATCATCACTGAAGCTTCTTCTGTATACAGTGAATGGAGCTGTACAAGTACTCTAAAAAAAGAAAAGAAACGACAAGGGCAGGATGGGAATTTAGAAAATTTCTTCTGTAGATTCAATGACTAACTCTACAGTATGGTGCGTACCTTCCTGAGGGTCTCCTATTAAAAATAAATGGACTTATTTCTGAATACCATGTGAAGTCTTGTGCTGCTTGTGACACTGATTTTATCTGAACCAACAGTCAAAAGAAAAGTTGGGGGAAGAGGGAATTTAAAAAAAAGAGCTTAAAATAGGGTTTATGATCAGCATTTTTTCTAATCACCTTACAAAGGAAGTCCCTGTACAATCCATTAAAATTTCAGACTACAATAGTTTGTTTATTATGTATGAGTACAGCAACTAGAAAACATACAATACTCAGATTTCCAGTGCTAAGACAGAAATCTAAAAGGTAGTCATGTTCCTACAGTCTCGCTGAAGGAGAGGAATATACTTAGAAACATTATTTGTATGCTTATTTTGAACTCTAAGTGTTTGCAATAGTGTAAAATAAAATCCAAATGAGTAAACATTACTTCCCATAAATCTATCCTTTAGCTAAGAAAAATTAGTAAGTTTTAAAATGTACTTCAAATGAAAATTATCAGTCTTTGGAGGAGTAGCTATATTATGAATATGTTCTTAAAAGTTGTATTCCTATAATCATTACATTAATGTTTTAGGTCACTATTAAGTGCATGGGTTAAACAAGAAGGACAAAAACTTTATAAACTGTGCTGATAATGTCAGGTGGATTGGAATCCATTTTCAAGTGTTTCACATAAAATAACCTAACTGCTTCCTTTCAAAACAGACATATTTAATTCACTACTGCAAGAGAGCATTGAGGCTTTCATAAAAAGAATAGTGCAATTGCAAACTTTTATCACTGTTCTATTTTGAGCATCTTGAAACTATATGGCCACGTGCTTCACTTCTGCAACAGAGTTCCCCCAGATTTAATTATTTCCGCCATGCAACTTATGAACAAAGGACATTCAGAACCAATTAGCACTATGTGCAAAATCTTCTTGGTTTCGAAAAGGATAATTGAGAAAAGAATCCATAGGATTCTCTTACAGTATTTGCCAGCAACTTGAATGTGCTATTTTGTCAAAAGGATAATTCCTCTAATACGATTTGTCTCCTGTAATTAAAAATTTCAGGTTAGTCAAACATTTGCCACCTTCTTATTTCAAAAATGTACAACCCAATAGCACTTCAAAAATTTTTCAACCTAATGTTAGCAGAATACACATGAGAAACATGAGTTGTGCAGGAAAGGGTGTAAACCTTGTGTAAACAGGTTCAAAGGGGAATCCAATACACACTGTATAATTAAGGGAGAGAACAGAAACAGAAGAGGATCTGTCTCATGGAAGACCAACCCCAATTTTATTGTCCCTCTCATAAGCATGGTCCCTTAAGCCAGAAACTGAAAATTAACAATTCAGATCAGAACCTCTAGCCCACACTTCCTCACCACTCTCATCTAAGTTCTGTATAGCATAGCCTTTTTTGGTGTTGCTCTCCATAATGTTGTTTTGGATAGCTCCCACATCCCAGCACATCCAATAGTTAGCGATGATGCGGTTATAGGGAGGTCCAAAATGCATTGACCTGGAACAGACCATTTTGGGGAACTGCAAAATGTTCCATTTCCCTCCAGACCATGCTAAACTTCCTCTAGACAATGCTGTTCCAGGGAGCAGTTCAGCAATTTAAGCTAAACTGATCCTCCAAATGGATGCAGTTTGAGGTGTTCTGAAAGTGACTGAACCCTCAAACAGGCCTGTTTTATCCAAAATATTATATCCAGAATACCGGAAACCACATCCAATCAGAGGATTTACTTCCATGTCACTGTCTCCAAGAATGACATGGAGAAGGGAAATGTAGGAGGTTTGGTATGGTATGGAGGGAAATGGAATGTTCCAGAGTTTTCTGAGGCAACTCATTCCGAGATCATCACATTTTGCACATCCCTATTTAACAGCACCTGAGGACTGCCCTTGGATATATGTACTCTCTTTTATTGGGCCCTTCATCATGAGAGGGGATTGAAAGACTGTCCTTTAATTTTCTGTGAAATGTGATTTGTTGTTATGTCCAAAACTGGATCCATCATTTTTTTTCAACCAAAGCTGTATAGCTTCCACTGGTGACTTACCAAAAAGGGGGCATTAATACTTTTTAGTGTCTGGATTACTAACAATGAGAAGTAAAAAAGGAATGCTATTTTAGCTCAAATAAACCTTACATTAATTTCAGCCAGACTCAAACTCAGCAGAATCCACCCACACACATGACATGGCATGGGTACTTGGATGGTTGTTGATAACACTGGTATTTCTGCTTTGGGAAACTCTAGTTCCCAACATAACTCTCAGGAAGTTAATAAGGAAGCTGGCTGATGGTCTTTGATGCAAGAGTATCAATGAATGAAGCCTGAGATCAATGTACTGCCTTAATTGAAATGCCACTTTTATCTTCTATGTTTTTAAATTATGCATTGTAAGGGGGATTTGAATATGTTTGTCAATTTAGTAGATGGGAGTGTATTAAAGTTTAAGAATCACAAGATTGGCCAAGATCAAAAACTATAGTTTTAAATGGCTTTGTTTTTCTAAATCATAGTTAAGAATGATGCAATTTTTCAGGTTCAGATATAACTCCGTATCATTACTAGTTAAAAAATGGAAGGTAATGTTTCCTTGTAACTACACCAGAGGAAAGGATTTATTTATGATAAACTATAGTTCCATCTTTCAAATGGGAAAACTATGATTTAACATTGTTTTTAAGGAATGAGGATTTTAAATCATCCTTACTATATATTTATGAGAGGAATATAGAGAGATTTCACATATGGCTCCAGGGAACTGAAGCATTTGTAATCCAGAACAAAGATCATTTAAACCATTTTTTTCTAGATAAGGCTATTGTTAGGGCAGACAATGGCATGCATAAGACATCTTTGCTCCAAAGTGAGAGAGAGCTTTGATATTTGCTACAGTCCAACACAGAGCCACAATTGATACTGGAATCTCAACACAGCCCCTCCCCAAAAGAGTCAATTTCTCCTTTTAAAATTCAGCTGTTAAATGAATTTTCAAGCTCCACTCAATACTATACGCACATACATACACACGTTTCGAATGTAAAATATGTCTGTTTTGATAACATGCATAGTTATGAAGTTTGAACAATCTACCTTTTAAAAAAACTAGGAGGTAATAAATGTATGTCTATTTATCTTTTGATATTTTTATCTTCACAAGTTTAAATATAAAGGAATTCTACATGCCTCAACTAGTCTGCGATTTTCTGCAACATAAGGTCTTTATGATATCTCCAAAAATGTCAACAACCATCTTAGAAAGGTTGGAGAAGTTTCTTTCAGGGAGAGCAGAGTGTATATGCCATTGGTACAAATATAAGAGTACAAATTTAATAAATAAATACATAAATGTAGCTGAAACAGACATTGCCCAAAGTAATGGAGAAGAGGTGGAACAAGTCAGTCCCTTCCTGCCACTAAAATTCCCTGATTGCCCCCTTTCTCTTCACCTTCCCAAGATGTTAGCTGGCAGGTCTTTAGCCAGGCACCAAATCAACACCAACAGTTTATGCTTGGGAACGAAGAGGAGATTTCAGCATCTCTTTGGCTGGAGAGAAGATTCTTAGATCAGAAGAGATGGACAATATTCCCCATCTCCCAAAGAAAATGAATTGTGAGTGATATGGATCTGGCCTATGGATCTCAGCTACACAACAAACACTCAATAAGAGCGAGGGTTTTTTTTTTTTTACTTTTTCTGAAGAAAAGCCACACAAGGAAAAGTGGCAGCTGAAATTCTAAATGGTATTATGGCCTTGGGGGTGGGGCAGAGAAAGAATGATAAAGCTGTTTTGTTCAGGGCTTCATCTAATAATTACTTGAGTGATAATTCTATGAGCTCATGCAAAATGTAAACTATTCAGAAGGATAGTTGCCCTCAAGCAGAAATGTGAAAAGGCAGGGTATCAATAAGTAATAAGGAAACAGATGTGCATGCTTTTCCTTAGGCTTCAAGAGGATTCCAGACCTCATTCTCTTGCTATAATCAGATTATTACAATCCCACAGTAATAAAAAATGGTATTGGGAAGACATTTCAAAAGTTTTGTGTCCGTCAGGACTGTTGTAGTTGTTGGAAAAAAATGGTTAGTGAAGTATTATGAGGAAGCATTCATGAAACACTGTAAATTTGAAACTCACATTAATAAAACACAATGGTTGTGTCCATTTACCATGTTATGCCAAACAAACCATATTATTTGCTTGGATGTAGCATATCATAGTGTGGTTCACACAACCTGTTAGGATAACCGCTGGGTTCTCACAACAGACTGAACCATAAACTACCCAACCCCATTTTAACCTAGCCTAGTGAATTGATTGGGTGAATTACAGGTAGTCCCCAGGTTAAGAACACCTGGGTTACAGATGACCCATAGTTAAGAATGGAGCCTATTGTAGCAAAATTTGAGTTAAATACACAATGGTTCGAGTTCATTACACAAGACTTCTTATATAGTATTATACAATAATACTGTTCTGGCTTACATACAAATTTGACTTAAGGACAAACCTTGGGAACGGAACTTGTTCTTAAACTGGGGATTTTCATTACACTTTGGAGTGGTTAGGGATCCTTGTATTCACTGTCTTGCCATAAGTCTTTCAATAACCTTGAAACATCATTTCCTGCCTGGTGCAGCAAGTAACCTGAGCAGCTTTATAGGGATGAAAATTCATGGCACAGGACAGGTTTCTCAGTGCAGTCTCTGGCTCTCCAACCCAGCAGACAAGAAAGCTCCGTCTACACTTGGTACTTGAATATCTTGTAAAATGCCAAGTTTAGCAACTAGCTTTTTGAAATATTGATTCTCAGAGGAGGGGAGGATAAAAATTGAAATATACTAGTTTTCAGGACTTGGCTATACGTGGGGTAGGGGAAAAAGGGATGTTATGCTTAAAAGATGTCAGAAAGTGGCCTCAGTTTTTCAAAATATATCCATGAAAATGCCATTTATGTGCTCATCTAAGTAATTTAGCAAGTTTAAGAACGCCAGCAAATTTCCTCCCTTCCTTCAAACATTACCAGAGAATGACTGTTCTATTTAACTTCCCTGACAGGACACACCTCAATTGAAATATTAGGAGACAACCTGCCGTAATCCCCATGCTTGTATTACCTCACCCAGTGTTGACACCTGCAAAGAAACAGACAGCAAAAGTGCAGCTATAGCACCTCACTGGGTGCTTCCCGACCATCAGAGTTGCAGATTTCTTAAAGGTAATATTAGGATTAATATTGCCAGTCTGAATTAAAGCCGATGCCCTTGTGAAACTGCACAAATGTATCTGGTTACAGTGTAAATATGTGTGAGTAGGTGAAAGTTTTCCACACTGTGGAAAAAATATGCAGAAGGGAAAGCTGGAAAAGGATACAAAATCACCCTAAAAGAGGAAAGACAAATTTACAAGAAAGGGGGAAAGGATGAGATGGCATTGACACAACTTAACCAGGTCAGTTAACAACTTGGCAGCCCATTTTCACAACTTGCAAAACTTAGTTATTTTTAACCTTAGATTTTTGCTTTGTCTTGTGGCCATCTGGTTAATTTATAGAGTCATGTTTTGTGCAAACCCAGAAAAATTAAAAAGCAGGTGACACATAATATATGAAGGCAGCCAATCTCTCATTCTCACCCGGCCCCCAAGTTGCTCAAGATCTACTTGGTTTTTTCTGCCCGCCCCATCAAAAGCTTTTCACTGGCCAGAGCACCTTACTGCAGGGAGCTCCTGCCTTCCCCCCAATGTTGCTATCTCTTTGATTGAAGGAAGAGATTTCACTCTAAACTACGCACACACAGAGAGCGTGTTTGCTTATTATCTCCTTCTTAATGTTTGGGCCACCCATATTCAGTAGCTTTCCCTTCCCAGGTGAGGGAAGGACTTCATATCCTGTGAGCACGGGATATTCTGCTCTCCCTCCTGTCCCTGGTGGGGTGGGGACATAGAAAGTTGCCGGATCTCATTTTAGTCCACTTGGTCCTTGCTGCTATTTAGGCAGCGGTGACTGCCAGGCAGGGGCCTTCCCTCCAGTTCCTGACCCTGACCCCTAACCCAGAGCCCTGCACTACCAGGTTGAGGATGCTCCTTCCTGTCTTCTGTGTCTAGGGCTCCTGTCATGCCTTCAACCTTGCAAGGGATTCCTTCACCCTCCACTCCCAACCTTTCAAAGGCAGGGAGGCGGGCAAGGCCACACAAACTACGTTTCAGGCTGTGGCTGCTCCTTCTGACTCTTCTGCCCAGTTTCTCCCTCTGCCTCCTGCCCCAGGACAAAATATTTTTTCCATACAGGACTGCTAGGAGGGGGAAGTGGCCCTTCTCCCCTGGACTTTCTGTCAGAGGACTCACCAGACCTTCTCAAATCAGAATGTGGGCTGAGGGTTGGGTTTTTTTTTCCTTCCACAGCCCTTCAGTTCTGGGGAAGCCACCCTGCCCTCTACCAATATACTTGGGGGTGGGGGCAATGTTACCTCTGTAAATATTCCCTTCAGCACTGGGGCAGTGGTATCTCTCC